CTGATGGCCTGAGGGTGGGGGCTGGCCAGGGAGGTGGGAGGCGGTGCCCACCTGGCACACAGGTAACATGAAACAGGCCCACCCGTGATGGGGACGTTTGTCCCAGAAAGGGCATCCAGCCAGGCCCCAAGTGCATGGGTTCCTCATTCCAGGTGGCAGGCACAAGAGAGCCCCCAGTGTGGAGGGGCTCACACCTGCTCCTTCCTGTTCTGGCTCCTCCCCTTCAGGCCCGCAGAGCTCCTCTTCCCAGGGGTCGGCGTCTGGTTCAGCCTCTCAATCTTTCTGGAGGGAGGGCCCCAGGGGCGGCTGCCAGCTAGGCCCTCCCCTGAAACGCTCAAGGTGACTCTGAAGGGGCAACTTGGTTTCCCAGGTTACATATAAGGAATCAGGAATCAAAAAGAGATGGAAGGAGGCCTCCCCCCACTCCCCCTGCAGGGGAGGAAGGGGCGCTCCTGCCTCAGGCCCTGGGCTGGGTTGCGGGGGTGGGCTTGACTAGAATTCGGAGGTGGCTGGTGGCTGGACGTGGGGAGGGCAGGGTCAAGAGCTGAAACCTGGTGCCTCCCATGTGCCCGACACCAAGCCACAAGCCTGTGGTGCCACCAGCTACGTGCTTCTTGAGCCCTTATTGCAAAGCGCAGGGAAGTGGAGACGGTTGTGCTATCTGGGCAGTGGCCCCTCCATCCCAGGCATCGCTTACATTTGTCCCCACCCATCTCTGTTCTGAACCGGACAGGGGCCTGGAGAAGCCTAGAGCCCACTTCCCTAAGCTTCCCTCAACCCCTCTCCCGGAAGTAACATTGGGGTATTTTGAGATGCAAATCAAGTGTCCCAGATGAAGAGAAGGCCCTGGCAAAGGAGGGGGAGGACGCAGGAGGATGAGCTCATTTTTTTGAATATGAATGCAGAGGAGGGTCAGGATGCCAGTGTTACCTAACAACCTAAGGTGTCCCCTCCCAAGAGGCAGGAGGGTCAGTGGGGCCCAGCTGGCTCAGCCCTGGAAGGTGGGTCAACTGGTCACTGCACTGTACCAGGGAGTACAGGTTTCAACGACTAGATTGAGACTGCAATGAGCAATTTTAAATGATGACAAGGTATATATTTTTTAACCTAATAGTAATCAGGAAAGTCGTGGGACTCCCCCCAAGTTTTCACTTAGGATGAGATAGATGGCTGCCCCCATGCCACCTGGATTTAGAATGAAGTAGTGAACTCCCACTGATGGACGGATGGAAAGAATATCCATATAAGCACATTGTATATATTTATACATACAATCTATACACATGCATGTGCACATGTACATGTCATATACATATGTATATACACATGCATGTATATGTATTCTCGTATACACGCGATCGATACAGGTACATGTTATTTACATATATATCACAGGCATATACACACGTACATGTGTATACACACCCATGCATATGCATATGCAGACACGTGCATACACAGGCCTGTACTTGTGTGTGCGTACTATATATACATGTGTGTACACATTACACACAAGCACACATGTATATATATACATGTTATGTACCTGTGTGCCCATTATCCATGTGCATATATGTATACACATGCCTACATAGCATACACATAAACGTGGGTACACGTGTATATAGATGTGTGTGCATATTATCTATAGGCACATGTATAAATCGACATGTATGCACGGAAAATGTATGCTTCCAAACTTTTATTCATGTACATAGCAAGCATGTGTATGTGTTTGTTGTACATGTGTTAGGGTTTATAAACAGAGATGGGATCCCACCAATGTGTCTTCTACAGACTCACCCGCATTTCTACCTTCTCTAACAACACACGTCACTGTCTTACCCTTTTCCAAGGACTGCCTGTCACTCCACTGTGTGCCTCTGCTGGTCTGTGTCACCATCTCCTATGAAGTAGTGCTTGGGCCGCCCCTTTCTGTTACAGCCAGTGGGGGTGCTGTCATTCAGAGGGCCTCTGACACCAGCATGTTGAGGGAGGCCTAGCCCACGAGGGAAGCACACGGCCACCCGCTTGTTTCACATACACTTTATTTTAAGACAACTTTGGGCCTCTCCAGTGTGTGCTCAGCGCCTGCATCGGAAGCACGCACAGACCTTTCTGCACCTCCTGCACAGACTGAACCAGAACCCCTTGAACCTGTGGCCCTGCTCTGTGTGCAGCATTTTGGGGATAATGTAGGCCAGCCACACAGACAGCAGGATGGCTACCATCAGCAGGAACTTGGTGATCTCCCACTGCCTGACGGGCAGTGGGAAGGCCCCGTACACGTAGACACTGAACGTGGTCTGCAGGTGACAGTAGCTGCAAGGGACAGGAGGGAGAGGCCATGGGGCACCGCCTTTGGGAGCCTCGCATTCACCCAGCAAACATGTTAAAACCAAGATCGGAGACCTGGGCTGCTGACTCAGGACACCAAGTTCCATTTATATCCACTTCAACTTTCATCCATTGTGAATCTGCCTTCCGCTTCGTGTATTTTGGCAGTGGTCATATTTTCCCCCCAGGACTCCTGGGGTCCATCCTATGGGAACAAGGGGTACTCCATGCCCAGGCTCCATCACAGCGTGGAAACAAAGTGAGGGCAGGACAACAGCCACAGGTAATCATGAGGCGGCAGCCAGTGGGAGGTGTAGCAGGATGGGCAGGAAGGGCCTCTGGGGAGAGGGGGCCCAGGCGATGGGAGAACTCACTGGGGGCTCTGCTGGAAGCAGCATGCAGGGCGCGGAGGTGACAAGTCTCACAGGCAGTCCCCTCTTCTCTGAATGTTCCCACCCCTGTGCCTTCCACCCAGGGCCATCCTAGAGTTAGTTCCTGTGGTCCAGGGTCTGGAGCCTCTGGGAAGGCAGGGTCTCCACATGCTTTTGGGGTTGGACTTTGTACCCATCTGGAGGGGATTGATGAGGGGGGAGAGGATGGCTCCCCCGTGTTCTTCCTCCCAATGGGAGATGCTGATGATCTAGACCAGCACACTGGACATGACTTAGGAACCTCTCAGCGCACATAGGTGGTAAATATTTAAAAAGTAGCTCTCGGGCTCGCTCAAGAGTTTGAGCTCTGAGCAACAGCGGTTTGATTCCCGGCCCGAGCTGAGCAGCCGCTGAGCTGCCAACCGGTGGCAGGAAGGCTCAGCTTAAAAAATAAATAAATAAATAAATAAATAAAATAAAAAGCAGCTCTTGGGGCAGGGCTGGGGGAGCCTGGTTTGTAGTGTGTGCCAATTCCCCTGGTGTAAATACTCTCGCTGTGGTCGACTTGCAGGATCCCTGACTATTTCCAAGGTGGTTCCTGCACGCCATCAATCAGACGTGGTATGAGAGGATGACCCGGGTCCCAGAGGGCAGTCACATAGCTGCTGGTCACTGCTGCTCCCCACAGCACCCAGCAGGGGCTCCAAACAGGGTTTATTTAGTGAGTGAACCAATGTCATCCAGGACTTAAAATCTCTCTTCCCGGGGATGCTCTGGGATGTTGGGAAAATTCTGGTTTATGCAGGACCTGCTGAGGTCAGGGGGGAAAGTGGGTCCCCCACATGTGTGTGACGTACCCCAGGAAAGTGGGTTGTCCCCACAGAGGCCCCCACTCACCTGTAGTATGGGTCCACGATAGAAATGAAGAAGACATAGATTCCGTTCCTTTGCTTGAAAGCAACCTTGTTCTCTGTTGGGCCTCCCAATATCTGATATGGGACATCTGGCCAATTCAAGGGAGCATCGTTGTTGGGGTCATGGCAGCTGACGTAGTTCTGGGCAAAGGACAGAGGTATGGCACTGGCCTTGGGGCTGGGGAGGGCCATGTCAGCACCCACAGAAGCTCTCCACCACGAGCACCGCCCCTCCCGCTCACCAAATGCCTTTGGGTACGGGTCAGGGCCCAGTGCCCGCTGGGTGGGCCGGTTCATGATTCCCATGAAGGAGGCTGTGGACACTGCTTGGCCTTCATGCCTCCCTCCTCTTTCCCAGTGCTTGTGCAGCACTGTGAATGTATGAGTCGCAGAAGTAAGTTGTACGCTTTAAAACGGTTAATTGTATGTTATGTGAATTTCACCTCAGTTTAAAAACACGTAAAACCAATGTCATCAACAAAATGGATGATGAAACTCACAACAGAAGGGGGTCTAAAAAAAAAATGGAGCCAAGGGCTGGCCAAGTGGCGCGATGGTTAAGAACTGGCTTGGGGGCCGGNTATGGGGGACAGAAAGAGCTGGACACACACTCCCAGCCCCAGAGAGTCAGGGCTGGGACAGAGGAAGGCAGTGGGAAAGGCTTCCTGGAAGAGGGGGTGCTGGGATTGGGGTTTTGATGGTTGACTAGAAGCTCTCTAGTAGAGACCATGGAGAAAAGATCACTTCTCATAGAGGGTTTGGTTGACATGTGCAGAGGCCGAAGCAAAGGGGCGTTAGGCTGGTGGGACAGGGCCAAACATGTCTTAGATTGTGGGGAAAAGGGAGGCCCCGAAAGTCAGGTTGGAGAGTAGAGCTTCACTGTTGTGTTTTCTTTTTCTCCAGCTTGACATCAGTGGCAAACTGTACCTGGCCCCCCTCACCACGGTAGTACCCACGTGGGGTGGGCTGGGTGGTGGCAGTGTGGTCATCCCAACAGTGCCCAGTGCCCTGGTCTCGGGGCTGGGGCGGGTGTCCGGGGTCCCTGCCTGTCCCACCCTCAAGTGTGTGTGTCCCCCGCTGTTCCCAGTGTGGGAACCTGCCCTTCCGGCGGATCTGTAAACGCTTCGGGGCCGATGTGACGTGTGGGGAGATGGCCATCTGCACCAACCTGCTGCAGGGCCAGACATCCGAGTGGGCCCTGCTCAAACGCCACCAGTGTGAGGATATCTTTGGTGTCCAGGTTGGTGCCACCTGGAGGGAGGGAGGAAGAGGGAGGAGGGGCTTTCAGCTACCAAGATTCAGAGCAAGGCTCGGGGTCATCTCTCTTGGCTCCCAGGACTGGCTCAGTCACCTCCCAGGTCCCTCTCACCTCAGCCATGGCCCGGGGCACCAGCCTGATGCACCTCCAAGGGCGATGGCCTTGGCATGGGGCCAGGCACAGGCGGTCAGAACCGGCCCTCACCACCCTCCCCCTGCCCCGCCACCTGCCACAGCTGGAGGGCGCCTTCCCTGACACCATGATCAAGTGTGCTGAGTTGCTGAACCGCACCATCGAGGTGGATTTTGTGGACATCAACGTCGGCTGCCCCATCGACCTCGTGTATAAGAAGGTAGCAGCCACTTGGCTCCAGAGCCCCAGAGCAGGCAGGATGTGGGTGGGGGCAGAGGCCTTGTTCCTCCCCTGGTTGCTGGGGACCTACGGGGGCCTCTGTGCCTCAGTTTCCCCATTTATACAGCAAGAGAAGCTAGGGGTGTCGGGCCCAGCCTGGGTACTGCCTTTCCTCGCTCCAGCCACCTCTCTCTCCCAGGGTGGGGGCTGTGCCCTCATGAATCGCTCCACCAAGTTCCAGCAGATTGTTCGTGGCATGAACCAGGTATGCCCCACGATGTCCCCGCCTTCCCCTACCTGACCCTGGGCTGTGCTGACCACGCCATCCCTGCAGGTGCTAAATGTGCCACTGACAGTGAAGATCCGCACGGGCGTCCAGGAGCGTGTGAACCTGGCACACCAGCTGCTGCCCAGGCTTCGGGACTGGGGGGCAGCCCTGGTCACGGTGGGTCTCGGGGTGCAGCGGGTGTCGGGGCCTCGGGTACTTTGGCGACCCTTTCTAACAGTCTCTGTCTACCCCTTCTCCCTGTTCATCTCGGCTCGCCCTCCAACTTTGCCTTCGTCTGTCTGTCTGTCTGTCCCTGTCTGTCTCAGCCTGGGTCTCTCTGGGTCTTTCTCTTTCTCTGTCTGATGCTCCTCCTCCCCGGACCTGCCTGCCCTCCCTGTGTGACCACTTTTCCAGCTCCACGGCCGCTCTCGAGAGCAGCGCTACACCAAGCTGGCCGACTGGCAGTACATCGAGCAGTGTGTGATGGCGGCCAGCCCCATGCCCCTGTTTGGTGGGTCCCCTGCCACTCAGCTCAGACCTGCCTGCTAGCCCTGCCATCAGAGGCCACACGCACCCCACCTCCCACCCCTCCCTGCACCAGTGGGGACCACTGGACTGGCAGGAACTCTCCACGCTGCCTACATGCAGCTCCCTGAGGACCCACCTCTGTCCCTCAGGAAATGGGGACATCTTGTCGTACGAGGACGCTAATCGTGCCATGCAGACTGGCGTCGCTGGGGTCATGATTGCCCGGTGAGTGTGCCCGGTTCCTGGGGGGCTATAGAGAATTATCTGGAGCTGCCCTGGGTGTACAGCCTGCAGCTCAGGGAGTGTGAAGGTGTGTCTGAGCTTGGCCACTTTTGTCACGCTACCCCCAGCCCAGCTGGTCCATTTGTCCCTGGCAGTTGGCTCTGTCAGAAAGGGATACAGAGAGATGCAGGGCCCAGGAGGACTGGAAATTGCTGCAGCTGTGGGATTGGAGTTGGGGTTGGAGCTCTTGGACTTCAAAGGTTGTACGAACACAGCTGGAGAGTCTGGGACTAAGGATTTGCGGGCCTCTAAGACCGCTCCACGCCCCACAGCGGCGCCCTGCTCAAGCCGTGGCTGTTCACGGAGATCAAGGAGCAGCGACACTGGGACATCTCGTCATCTGAGCGCCTGGACATCCTGCGGGACTTCACACACTATGGTCTGGAGCACTGGGGCTCGGACACGCAGGGCGTGGAGAAGACCCGC